ACTCTGTCTGTCTGTCTGTCTGTTTCTCTCTCTGTCTATGTCTCTGTCTGTCTGCCTCTGTCTCTCTCTCTCTCTCTCTTACTCTGTCTGTCTGTTTCTCTCTCTGTCTCTTTTTCTGTCTCTGTCTCTCTCTCTCTCTCTTCTTCTTATTCCTCTCTTTCTACAATTTAACTTGTTAGTTTATATCTTACTCTGGTTCTTTCTTTCTCTTTTTGCTCTGTCTTCCTCTGTCTCTGTCTGTCAGTCTCGCTCTTTTCCTTTCTCTTTATCTCTTTGACTGTCCGTCTGTCAATCTGTCTCTCTGCCTCTCCCCCCTTCCTTCCTCTCTCCTTCTTCGCCCACTCACTCTCTCTGTCCCCTCTCCCTTCCTCCACTTTAATTTTTACTCCTCCTCCACCCCACTTTCTACTCCTCCCCCACTTTAATTTCTACTCCTCCACTCCACTTTTTACTCCTCCCCCACTTTAATTTCTACTCCTCACTCCACTTTCTACTCCTCCTCCACTTTAATTTCTACTCCTCCTCACTCCACTTTTCTACTCCTCCTCCACCTTAATTTCTACTCTCCTCCTCACTCCACTTTCTACTCTCTCCCACTTTAATTTCTACCCCTCCTCTAGTCCACTTTTTCCTCCCCCACTTTAATTTCTATCTCCTCCACTCCACTTTCTACTCCTTCTCCACTCCACTTTTTACTCCTCCCCCCCTTTAATTTCTACGCCTCCTCCACTCCACTTTCTACTCCTCCACTCCACTTTCTACTCCTCCCCCACTTTAATTTCTACTCCTCTTTCTATTCCTCCTCCACTCCACTTTTTACTCCTCCCCCACTTTAATTTCTACTCCTCCTCCACTCCACTTTCTACTCCTCCCCCACTTTAATTTCTACTCCTCCTCCACTCCACTTTCTACTCCTCCTCCACTCCACTTTTTACTCCTCCCACACTTTACTTTTCTACTCCTCCTCCGCTCCACTTTCTACTCCTCCACTCACTTTAACTCTCCACTCCACTTTCTACTCCTCCTCCACTTTTACTTTCTACTCCTCCTCCACCCTTTTTCTACTCCTCCTCTCCACTTTTTACTCCTCCTTTTCTACTCCTCCACTCCTTTTTACTCCTCCTCCACTCCACTTTCTATCCTCCACTTCACTCCCTCCTCCATTTTAATTTCTAACTTTTTTCTACTCCTCCTCCACCTTAATTTCTACTCCTCCTCCACTCCACTTTTTACTCCTCCTCCCTTCTACTCCTCCTCCACTCCACTTTCCTACACTCTCACTCCACTCCACTTTCTACTCCTCCACTCCACTTTCTACTCCTCCTCCACTCCACTTTCTACTCCTCCTCCACTCCACTTTCTACTCCACCTGACTCCGGTCCATCTGCCACTCATCATCGAGACAGGTAAGTGTTCGGATCCGTCAGCGAGGCTTCGGCGCTGTTCCCAGTCACTCAGGAAGTAGACCGGGCCTGAATTCCAGCGGGGGGCGGCGCTCCCTTTGACGCTATCGATGGAGAGCAGGTTCTCCAATCTTCAGTTAGGCGTATAATCCTTTTCCAGATGCATAGTTGCCCAGTGAGCTGTATTGTCTTCGGCTTTGGCTTCGATGTCGTCAATTTGGCTGCGTTATCACGAAGGACAGTGCGTTATCTCGATATCTCTGTTTGTGCTTGCTTGTGTGTGCTTGTTTGATTGTTTGTTTCTGTGTGTGTGTGTGTGTGTGTTCGTGTGTGCGTGTGTTTGTGTGTGTGTGGTGTGTATGTGTGGTGTGTGTGTGTGTGTGTGTGTGTGTGTGTGTGTGTGTGTTGTGTGTGTGTTGTGTGTGTTGTGTGTGTGTATGTGTGTGTGTGTGTAATGTGTGTTCGTGTGTGTGTGTGTGTGTGTGTTATTTGTGTGCTCTGGTGTTTGTGGTCTCGTTTGTAAGTAGATGTGCAATTATAGATATTTTGTTGCTATGTGTGCAGCTTAATTTACCTGTGGAAACGTCAGCAACATTTCATACTTCACTGATTAAACTGGGACTAAAATTTGCCAAAAAAATATATTTGTCATTCAAAATATACAAGCAAAGTTCCAGGAGTTCAATGAATACGAAATTACGAAAAGAGTGTATGAAATTAATGAAACAAACGTAAAAAAATACTAATCATTCTTCGACATTAAAAACTACAACAAGAAACCTATGAGTCACAAACAAACAAAAAAAAAACAAGCATTAGTAAAAACAAAAAAACAAAAAAAAAAAAAAAAAACAAACAAAAGTAATGATAAACAAAGCTAAACTAAAAAAAAGGTAAAAAGACTTTATATTTTGTTACACAAAAGCCAAGGTGAAAGGGGAGCTCAGTCAGGACACAAAGAAAAGATGAAAGAAATAAAAAATCTACTGGTGTTAACTGAGGCAGAAGAAGAAGGCACTGAACGAGAGAGACGAGGGAGAAAGAAAGGGGGAGAGAGAAGAAGGGGATGGAAGAGACTGCAGGGGAGAAGGAAAGGG